TAGTGGACGGTTATACTGACACTCGGGAAAGCCTTGGTGCACAGCCTCTGCTTGTCCAGATTGAGAAGTGAGGGCTGCGATTGTCTGGGCAGATGTTGCGAATGCCTCCAGAAGGGAGAGCTTAACAACTGTTTCTTGCCAAACGGACCTGCAGAAGGCCCAAGGGGACAGGCAGGATTAACCTGGTGCGAATATATGGAGGGAGTCTGTTACAAACTCCAGTTGTCTTCTGCAGAAGCTCAGACTCTGGCACATGATCAGGAAGATTAGAAGTACTCTCTGAAAAGTCTGCGTCTGCGACCCGAAGGGAGAAGCTGCCATGGAAGATGAAAATGAAGATAGCAATTCTAAATAATTCTAGGGGTATCTATAAAATTTTAAAGCTATTTCTCTTTCTCCATCCATTTCGAATACCCGCCATCTTTCGGTTCAGGAAATTTTTTTTTAGATGTTTCGTGATTGCTTTTCAAGAGTATCCGGTTTCCGCCAGTAAGATGTGGTCAATGAACTAGACTCCACTTAAATTTCATGTGTACAATTGAAATGCCTAACCCGCAAACTATCCCTTTACCGTTTTCAAGATAGGTTGCTTTTGCCAGTTTAGTATGTGGACTCCCAGTTACTCGACTGAACCTCGGAAAGTTTGACCTTTATATCTCGATACCGAGCGGCCAAAAACCGCAGGCATTATGGAATGCCGCTTCAAAATTTCCCATAATCGTCATATTTGCAATGCTTCGAATAAACTTCATTTTCGCAGTCTGTATTAGTCAAGACACTCTTTCGAAAAATTGTTAAGCATCCACAGCCGTGGACGTTTCCAGTTTAGCGATCGTCACCTGCAGCCGTTTGCACAAACCGAATATCACTGGTTTGCAATTTGCTCCATGTTCATAATTCTTCGATACCTATGGTATAAGCCACCGTTTATTACATCGTAAAATAACAATTCCTTGCTGAAAACATTTATTTCTGTCTTGTTCATAATTTCACATGGCGGCGTTAATGGAGGAAAAAATTGTACATGCCAAAAAATCAGTGTGATATTCCTCTTTTATTCACCACGTCTGATTTAAACATGCAGTGGTTATGTAGGGGAAGAACATAAACGTTTGCTAATTTCGAACTATACGATAGACGTCTGGGTTATTGAATTATTTGATAAACGATAAATTCTTTGGCATAGTTGTCTAAAAAATGTGCTATGAACCTCGAGGTATGAAGTTCAATTCCGTCCAAGGGTAATTTTTGTCTTATTCACAAATCCCTTGTGCGAGAAAATTGCCGCACGTTGCTTCAGATCGGCGTTGTTCAATCGGCGAGGCGTCGAACTCAGAACCGAGAGGTCCCAAGTTCAGGCTCACTCGCCCCTTATTCCCGAGATTAATAAATAAGTATCGCTTTGTGGAAATGAAACAGAAGACTACACGCTACGCTTGCCAGATGGCTGCAGACTCTGCCTTAAGGAGTAAGGCACTCCTGGCTGATAACATGGAAACGGAGATCAGCACTGCACAATCAATTTCATGAAAAGAAGGGCGTCAAAGTGGCTTAGTCATGAAAGTGAGGAAAAGCCGACATTCCAACGTTGACTAACCTTTTCTACTGAATTGTCGAGTCTGGTCCTTCACAAGTGACCGCCTGCGTACCGCAAAGCAGCAGAGACTTGA